TCGTTTGTCTATAGTTTTAACCCAGCCAAGTAACATGACTCCTTGTTCTGTTTTCTCCATTTATTTTATTTTTTTCTATTTCTAATTAACAAGAGGCACAGAGGTTTTAGAAAGCTAGACTTAAACAAGAACTCCCACTCTGTGAGCAGACTACTCCGAACAGAATTTATGCCATTAGTCACTTTTACCACAAATAATCAGGGAGGCCTCAGGCCAGGGCCTGCAGAGGAAGCTGGTACTTCTCTGACTGGAAGATCTGAAGGGGGCCCGAGGCCACGGCTTTCTGGCTTTCTCCCCTCTCCTGAGGGAGAAGAGCCCCCTGGCATCGTAGCATGTTTGAGAGCTTCGGTCATCAGAGGAGAGTAGGTTAAGGGCAGGTCTTTTGATGGCGCTCAGCATGCCTGGCTGACATTCTGAGGGCTGTGTGTGAGTGGCTCCCTCATTTTTGAAGACACACACCACATATTGAAGGCTGAAGGGACAGTCCTCATGAGGTGTCAACTGCCTGTGTGCATATTTGGAAATATTGGTTATCTGTCACTCATGGGCCCTTCAAATGTGTCACTTTAAAAACAATTTTCCCCATGGGACAATTTATGCTTAAAAGCAATCGTTAAAGGTGTCAGTGCTTTACTCTGGAACTCCTGTGGTGACATTACTATGACAATAATGTTTAATATCTATTTTACTTCTACCTTTCTCTACTGACAAACGTAAGAGCACTGTACCAAATAACATGGGCAGGGATGGTGCTGGGAGCTAAGGACGCTCAGTGCGACCTGCCAAGACTGTCTCCTAAAAGCAGGGTCATAAAACATGTGAGTTAACACTTGAATGATCCGTTTAAACAGATTTTATGGGTTAAAATAAAGATTATACAAGTAACTGTTAGTGAAAATTTTATTGTGATATGGTCATTTAAGACACTGGTCTCCTTTCTTGATTTTGTGCAAAACCAATAAACACTAGGTACTTTGACAACCTTAAAATAGACTCCGGAAATGTTATCCATGGCGTGACCACTATGACCGAATCCTGCCACCAGACACTTTCCTCAAACGACACAGGAAATTCATATATACAAAGATACGCATTCCTATTTGCATGGCTTTTAAATTAGAACTGGGTCTCTCAGCTCTATCAAAAAATAAAAGGAAAAATCCCCATATTTTTGAGGCATTGTGTATTTCCCTTACAGAGTTAAAATTTTTTTTTCAGAATATCACTAAGAGGAGCGTTTCAATATCTCTGTATAAACACTGAGAAAATTTATTAATCATACTATACTACCTTCTTCCCTTCAAAAGGCACAAAACAAAAACACTTACCAAATGCCCAGCATTGACTTGTACCTTCACTGGCGAAGGAGCTCCCTGATGTGAGTGAGGCAGTGTGTGGTTTGGCAGTGGGCTGGGTCCCCTACAGAAGGTTCATTTAGAGGACAGACTACTGGTCTGATTTTAGCTGTGCTAATTACTCTGGGCAAATTATTTAGAAAGTACTCAAGAATGGCCATTTTTGGACTCCTTCTAAGATGAGGTGGCTGGATAAGGTCGGTAGTGTGCTGATCGTCGCTCTTCCCTGACTCCATCCCCGTCACCACCCTCCCGTACTTGGGGAAAGCAAGGAGGTGACTACCTGAGGATGACCTGAGAGCCAAAATGACCGATTTTTCTTGAAATACCCTGGAGGATTGGGAGAATTCATAATCTAACAGCTGCCATAGGGAATTCTGATGTTCCCTCAATTTGGGAACCGCTGGACTGAGTAATCTCCAGATTCTTTCTGCTCTATCAATTTCTAATTTGTTTGGGCTTTGCTAGGCAAATATGAGAGGCAGCAAATTAAATAACTACTTGTTTACAATTTTTAAAAAACTTTTAAATTTATAAATAATTTAAGAAGTTGCAAAAATAGTTTGTATATAACCTTCACCCAGCTTTCCCAAAGACGTTCATCTTCGACAACCGGAGCATATTTACAAAACCAGGAAATTGACATTGGTGCAACGCTATTAACTAAACTACAGACCTTCCTTGTATTTCACCGGCTTTTATATTCACTCTTCTGGCACATGGCACTGTGACGTTCCATCACAAGCACGGACTTGTGTATGCGCCGCCACAATCTGGACTCGGACTCTTGTCACCACGAAGCAGCTCCCTCGTGCTACCCTTTTATGGTTTGACCTTACCCCCATCCTCAGTCCCTGGCAACTAGTGATCTGGTCCCTATTGTATTTTTATCATTTTGAGGTTTTATTTAAATGAAATAATGCAGGAAGTATATAATCTTTTCAGATTGGCTTTTTGTATTTAGCATAATACCACCGAGATTGATAGAAGTTGTTATATGCAACAGTAGTGCCTTCTTTGACTGAGTAGTATTTCTTTTATGGATGTACCAGTTTATCATTTCTTGGCTATCCCAAATAAAGCTGTCATGAATGTGCATGTACAGGGTTTTGTGTGAGCAGATATTTCATTTCTGTATGGTAACTAGTGCAATTACTGGATCACACGTTTAACTTCACAGGGAACTGTCAACACTTTTCCCGAGTGACTATGCCATTTTGTATTCCCACAGTGTAAGATCCAGTTGCTCCAGTCTCTCTAGTACTTGCTATTGTCGGTATCTTTTATTCTATCTATTCTGATGCATGTATACTTATATATCCTTATGATTTTAATTTGTATTTTCCTAATGATACTGATGTCTTCATGTTTGTCCTCTTTGGTGAACTATCTATTCATTTGCTCATTTTGTAACGGGATTGTTTTCCTACTTTAAAGACTAGAGTCCTTTATGTATTTTGGATATAAGTCCTTTGTTAGATGTGATTTGCAAGTATTTCTCCCAGTCCATGGTTTGTCTTTTCATCCTTTTACCAAGATCTTTCACAGAGAAAGCTTTAAATGAAGTCCAATTTACTTTTTTTTTTTTTTGGAGTGTGCTTTTGGTGTGATGTCTAAGATCCCTGCACCTAACCCCATGAAGTCATGTTTTTTCCTGCAAGTTCTATAGCTTTGTATTTTATATTCACATATATAGTACATTTGAGTTAATTTTTGTATAAGTTCTGAGATTTTGAGGTCCACTTTTTTGCAAATCCAAGTCCAATTTATTGAAGACCACCTTCTTCCATTGAATTGTTTTTGTATCACCAAAAATCAGTTGGTCATACTTGTGTGTCTATGCACTCTCTTATTAATCTGTCCCTTAATACCACACCCTCTGGATTACTGTAGCTACAAATTGTCTTAAAAACAAAGTTTGTGATTTCTCCATCTTTATTCTTCACTTTCCATATTATTTTAGCTATTCTAGTTCCTTTGCCTTTTCATTTAAACTTTAAAATTAGCATTTGTTTCTAACTAAAAAAGCTGCTGCGATTTTGCTTAAATTTTACACCCAAAGCAAGTGACCCATTTTTCTCACCTAAGAGCCGGCTGGGTCTAGCCAGGGGTAACCCAGCGCCAGCACACCTCGTGCTGGATCCCAGCTGGGCATGGGTCCACGTGCAGGTTACAAGGTGATGGGTGAGTTGGGGCTGAGGTGGGAGGAAAGCACTGGGTAGAAGGAATCAAGGTCAGCTTCAAGCACTTTGGGTCTGTAGTGCCTGGCGTGGCATTGTGGGCTACTGTCTGTCACTTAGCCATAGGACACGGGTTGTTGGGTACACCTGGGAGAGAAGTAGGAAACATTGTTGCACGGTGTCATACTTCCTTCTAGGGATGTTTCTTGACAGGTTTGGCTGAGGTCTCAGCCCTGCAGAGAACTCTAAAGGTTGCCTCCCCCTCCCCCACCAGGCCAGACCTTCCTCCTCCAGTGGGGCCTGTGAGCTTACCGGAATTGCCCAAACTTGGCCCCTACGTGTGGCCCTCCCACGCCTTTTCTGGTATAGGGGATCAAGGCCTGGCGATCTTCAGGGTTGGGTCAGTGATGCCAATCCAAAAGCATCTGGCCAGCCTTTGGAAATGAATACTGTCTGCGGCTGCACACACTAGGAGGTGCTGGGATGGAAACTAGACAGCCAGTCTAATTACCCTTTTTAAGAATAATGAATTAACATGGTGTTCATAAATTTACACAATGCTGTCAAATATTTCTGTTAAGAAGGTGTCTCTCTTCACTCTTGTTGAAAAGACAAATAAGCAATTATTTTTGACAAGGATGAACAAGTGTGAAGCGAGCAGGTGGCGGCACACTGAGCACCTCCTGAAGCCGGATGAGGAATGCAGGTTTGAGCGAATGACAGGTGAAGGCAGTCACCTGTAAGAACTCATTTGGTCTTACAGGAAATCAAAGAACATTTTCTCAAAACCATAAACCTAATACTAGGCTTTGGTCAGAAAGCAAATTAACCCAGAATTACTAATGCCACCAATAGCAGTTTTTCAAATGAGACTTAAAGCTAATGAACCTTATTTCAGATGAGATTTTGCATTTTCCTCCTATGGAAATTTTCGAACTTGTGGACAGTGAACCCCCATGTACCCAACACCAGCTTTCAGAGTTATTAAAACACAACCCGCCTTGACCATTACCACCCAATCACTTCCTTTACATTGTTCTTTGAAGGCAAAAATCTATCAGTTACTGATACACTTGGGACACAGAACACTTAATCTTTGTACACCTGGTCTTACCTTGAACAAGTTTTTCTTTCTGTGCCTCGATTTGCCTGGCATGGAGGCACGCACCTCCATGAAATCATCCAGTGCTTAAATTTTGCTATCATAATCACAGAACTTAAAACACAGATACTGACCTATATATTTGAAAAACACCAGAGCAGGGAACAACTTGAGGTTAGTATTTATCACACTGGATCCCAGGAAGATGTATTCATGGGTTCCCAAGGAGAGTCCCACTAATTTTTTAAAGCCCTCTGTAGAGGGGGAACTTTGCAATAACCCATTTTCTCTAGAGAATTCTGTATTAACTGTTTTCCCAATCTCTAAAATTGGTAAATCATAAATGATAAGACACAAAACACATTTTAGGCATATGAAAATTTATTACTACTGTGTTTTCACCATCAAAATTTATGATCTTGGTCTTTCCTTCTTGCCTTTGTATAAGGCCAGAAGAGAGACATTGGCTACTTTGACAACCTTAAAGCGAACTCCAGGAATGTCACCAACAGCATGACCTTTGCGACCAAATCCAGCAACCAGGACTTCATCATTTTCCTGGAATAAAACAGACAGTTTATTCTGCTGTCAGTGGCAATCACTAAAAATACTCATTAACAAATAAACGGGGAAACAACCTCAGGAACAGAAGCTACAACAGACTGAAACACTTACCTCAATAAAATTCAAACAACCATCATTGGGCACAAAGGCTGTGATTTTTTTGCCGTTCTTGATCAGCTGGACCCTGACGCACTTCCTAATGGCAGAATTCGGTTGTTTGGCTTCAACGCCTCTGAAACATCAATAATGTAAGAGTGAGCCGGTTTTCTGAGAAGGGATGCATTTCAGTTCATTAGGCATAAAACTTACTAGAAATTGTACTGTTTCTACCTTTTGTATCTACTCCTAAATTGCTAAACTCCAGTGATTTCCACCAAGTTTTTCCTGTCACAGACTCATTAGCACCATGGAAGAAACTGCTGGCCCCTTTACAGTTGTAATATGAAACAAAAACTAGAAATTCTGGATTTAAGTACTGCCACTATGTATGATTGGACCACATGAAATTACCATTTTGTAAAGTCAAAAACAGCGAGTACTGCAAATTCACGTGTCTCAACCTTAGCTGTAAACGTCAAAGAACTTCTCTTTACTTTTGTTTTCTCAAGTAGAAAGATGTGATTGGTTGCAAACATTAAGAAGTTCATGGGGAACAGTTCCCACACATAATGCAAAGATTTGTCCCTTCACTATTACTGTCTCCCCTCCAGACCCACCCCAATTCCTTCCAGGCTAATGTTAACAAATTAAAAACCTTGGTAACCTAACCTCTGCGCCCCCGTGTTAATCAACTTTCCAACGAATACACATTAGCTATACAAAGACCGAGAACACACACCACAACTTCCTTAAGTGTATTTATCATAGTGAAATAAACCTGAAAGTCGCAGTGAACTCTTACTTACACTTTTTCCAGCACAATTCCCTTTGCATGGGAAGCGCCTCCAAAAGGGTTGGCCTTCAGGGCTGTGCCCAAATGGGCTTTTTTGTACTGCTTATCATGCCACTTCTGATCTCGTCGGTGGCTCCGGAGCTTCCTGGCCGTACGAAGACCGCGGCACTTGCCTAGAAAAACCAAAATCAACTTAGTCCTCTCGCAAAAGCGCTCCAGTCATATTTTACATCTTGACATACGGTCCAAACCTCAGTTTCCTTCGAACCATCTAAAAGATGGGCACAAGCGCTCCAATGGGTGCATCTTCCCAGAAGCTACGCCCGTGCTCAGAAGCAGGGTGGGCCACCCACCTTCCGGCAGTTACACGAGCTCCGCGGCCTCTGAGCCGCACAGGCCCCTTCGGCTTCTGGCCATGTGCTTGTGGAGCGGCGCTTCTCCGGTCCTCCCTCACCAAACCTCCCGGTGGCGTCCTCCTCTCTGCCTGTTCCTATCCTCCCTCTCGCCCCCCTGAGGTCCCACTTACGTTTGTGATCACATTAAACCCAGCAAGCACTACTCACCCATCCTGCCGGGAACACGGGCCTGAGCGAAAGAGAGAGGAAGCGCAGGAAGGAGCCACAAGCCGCCGCGAGCAAGCCCCGCCCAGCCGAGGACCCATGCGGCTGTCCGCGCAGCTCCTGATCCGAGGCTAGAGCCTCTCAATTGGGAAAAAACAAACTTGCACCACTTTCCAGAACCTGCGATTTATTTAATTCGTGTGAAATTCAGGGGTATCTAATTTGCATTGTTTATTTCCTTTTATGTGAATGTCGGATACAGAAGGAACGCGAACTACTAATTCCAGCATTCTTTGCACGAGACCCGCTCACGGCGCGGCGCAGGCGCTCTCAGCAAATCTACAGGGGCGGGGTTTATTGACACTAGGGCGGAGGGAGGAGAAGGCGTTTGTCCCGGTGTGGATACCTGCGAGAAGCCTTTAGGCCCTTAGACTTATTGGTCGGAAAATAAGACCTCTGCGCTTGAGCAGCTCCTCACAAGCAGCATGGTAAATTAGTGAAGCAATGTGATGTACTAATTAAAAACACAAAGTTTGGAGGTAGACCAGGCTCCAAACTCCAAAGCTGCCATTTGCTGGTTGTGCGACCTTGGGCAATTCGTTTAATTAACTCTTTAAACATCATTTTCTTTTGTTGAATAAGAGTTTTCTGGGATTTTGATTTATCCCACAACTATTTTTTAAATTTTCCTCTCTCTGTGGCAGGCACTGTCCTAGGCACTGGAGATAAAACAGCTAAGGAGAGTGGAGCTTTCTCCTGTTACAAAGTTACATTCTAGGTGTGAGAAGGCAGAATACTGTATAAATATATTTTAAAATAAAAGATATTTTTACATGCGAAGTGCTATAGAGAAGATACAATTGGTTAGTTGATACTAACCAATGGTGGCTGCTCTGGGTAGGGTGGTTTAAGACAGCATCAAATGTAGATACTACATTTGAGCTGAGACCCTAAAGACTGAGAGTCATTCTGACAAGTATATGGATTAGAGCCTTCCAGGAAGAGGAATTCTCAGTAAGTAGAATGAGCTGGGGCTTTTCAAGAACTAAAGGCTCAGCGAAGAGGAGCACAGTGAATGAGGAGTGTGGTGCTAAATGAAGTCTGAGAGGTACATGGGGCCAGGTGGTACCTGGAGACCATGGTGAAGACTGGTCTCTCTTGATGTGATTGAATGCCATTGGAAAGTTTTGAGCGGTGGAGTAACAAGATAGGATTTATGTTTTTTATAAAAATCACTCTGGCTGCTATGAGAAGAAAAAAACTGTAAGCAACGAATCTGTGAGACCAGTTAGTGAGGATTGCTTGAGCTCTCAAGTGGAGGTAGTAAAAAAGTCATTAGATTAGATACACAATTTAATGGTAGAGCCAACAGGATTTACTAAGGACTGTAGTATGTGAGAGAGGAGTTAATTACAGGTTTCAACTTGTGTAATTGGGTGCCCTGTGTTATTTACTAGCTGTGAAATGGGGAGGAGCAGATTTATTTATTTATTTTCAACTTTTATATTATTGAACTTTATGCACAAAATCATTTGATTACAAATAAACATTTAATGTAAAAACAAACGTTCTTTTAAACAGATTTTTTTTACACTTATTGTACCATTCAAATGCTTTATCATCTTACGTGATTTCTTCAAACTCTTATCAAGCGTACATATAGAAAAGCACTTTTTTAATACATAGAAACAAAGGGATTTTTCAGCTTTCATTAGATGGCATAAAAAGTTTACTCAACAGAAATAATTTCATTACTATTTAGGGGAGGGAATCACCAACTTTTTTGTGCGAAGAGGAGCACAGCGTTCTTTTGGGCATTAAGAGCATAACCACTTTAGAAATGACATAAGCAAGAATTCTACACCTACATCTCCCCTAAAATAATGTTTGTTTGTTTTTACTTATATGCACAGCTTTAGCAAATTAAAGCCTGAGAGAAATGCTCAACATCCACTATCCAGAGGCATGATCAGCATTTACTGTAATATCATTTGGAGAGCTTACCAATCAAGGAGTGTGCAGTTTCCCTCTTTCCTATATCTTTAATACAAAAATCAATAACTAAGACTTTAAAACTGGATGAAAAATCACATCTACACTATTAAATAGCCTCACAGTTAAACTCATCTTAAAGACCAATCAAATAAATATTTACATTTTATAAATTTTTGAAGACACCATTAGAAAGCTTATATATACCTTCATTAAACAAAATAGGGAACTGCATCTGATGGTGATAGGATGAAATAAAAATAAATACCTGTATTTAAAGCAGCATTGTTCCTTTATAAATAAAGAATAAGAAAATTCAATTATCTTTAAGGATAATAAAATATTGAGGTGATGTTACTCCACCACAGTGCTTTTTGGAATAAAAATCTATTGGTGTTTGTTAATGTGCCAGTAATAAAACCACTCTCTGTTGGAGAAAATCCAACTGCAAACATGTGCATAAAATACATATAACACAGGGAAAATTACTCTAAACAACTCAAGTCAGCTCATTTGTATTGAATATTCTAATTGCAAAAGACATTGCAAAAAAAATATTAGAACATTTTCTGGTTTGTTTTTATAGGACATTTCTTCCCTCAAATGTGACATATTAAAAATCTCAAATTGGAAAAAAATAAATAAAATCAATCTTCATTTTAAAAAAGAAAGAGAGAAGGAACTCCTTCCTTTTGCAACAACATGGATGGCACTGGAGGTTATTATGCTGAGCGAAACAAGCCAGTTGGTGAAAGACAAGTATCATATGATCTCACCTCTAAGAGGAACCTAAAGAACAAAATAAACAAACCAGCAAAACAGAACCAGAAGCATGGCAACATGTGGCAGACTGAAAGTGACCAGAGGGGATGGGGAAGGAGGACAATATTGGAAAGAAGGGGAAGGGACTAGACAAAGAGCATGTATGGATGACCCGTGGACATGGACAACAGAGTGGGAATTGGCTGTGGGAGTGGGGGGGAGGTGAGATGGGTGGAGGAGGGCAAAGGGGAAAAAATTGAGACAATTTTAATAGAATAAACATGATTTAAATAAATAAAAAATAATTTTTTTAAATGTCAAAAAAGAATCTCAAATTTGTTCTTCCCTTGGTTTACACTCCTAATGTGGATAGTTTAATTTTCCATATGATTACCTAACTTGGGGGGAAAACAGCAAAACATTCAAGTTTAAAAAACATGGTGAGCAATGCCCTAAAATTATCCACATAAAAACAAATGGTAAGTAACCTTATAAACCAACATAACATTTCACTGTTGAATGTGAATAATTAATATCTCAAACAAACATAAGATGAAGAAGTGCTGTTTTAAAATTGTAAAAAAAATGTATGCAATGCAAAATATCTTCTGTGTTGTAATTTTTCATTTTAAATTGATTAATGATTTCAAAATCAAGGATCGAGTTTTAATTGCAAGTGGTAATGCAACATGTCACGAAAATCTTCAATTTTTAAAAAAGGGTATCACATTTGAATTTTCTGGGGAGGAGAAGATTTAGAAGGGGAAATTAAGAATTCTGTTATGTACATGTTAGACATTCAGGTAAAGGGATGTGAAGTGGGCAGGTGGATATATGCATATGGAGTTCAAGGGAGTCATCAGTGAATAGATAGCATTGAAAGCCAGGCCTCTGAGTGAGATCCCTTAGGGGATGATTGTAGGCAGAGCAGAGAAAGGTCGGAGTCCTGGGTGCTCCAATACAGTGATAAGAGAAGCAGGGGAAACAAAATAGACTCAGAAGAAGTGGCCAATACTGTACTTTAGCCAAAACCAAGTGAAGGAGCGTAAGGTAAGGACTGAGAGTTGCCTTTTGGATTTGGCAATGGGGAGATTATTGGAGACTTTGTCAAGTGGGTATCCCATTGAGTGGTGAAGACGTAAGCCTGATTGGACTGGAGTCAATAAATAATGAAAGAGAAGGAAGTATAGACAACAACTATAGACAATTTTTGCAAGGAATATTTCTGTAATGTGCCACAGAAAGGGGCTGTCTCTGGAGAGAGATGTGGAGTCAAGTTGGGTTTGTTTAAGATGGCAGATTTTATGACATTTTTGTATGCTCATGGGATTGTTCCAGGAGAGAAGAAATGGGTAATTCATTAGAGAAAGAGGATAGTTGCATAAGCAAGTCCTGAGTATGTTAGAAGGGAGCCCAAGTGGAGTAACTGACCTTAGGAATAATAACGATTTATCTATTGTGATAGAGAAGGCAGAGTATAAGGGTATAAATACAAGTAAATTGGAAGATTTGTTGATGAGATGATGTGGAACTTCTCTTTTGAGCAAAGTTATCAATGAAGAGAAAGAGTATGGAGGTGTTTGAGCAGAAAGATTAGGACGTGATGATTTCCTAACACAGATGATGAAATTGTCATCTAGGATAACAATGCTAGCATTAAATAATACTTTGTGACACGTACTATTTTAGGTGCCTTACATTTTTTAATTCATTTAATTCTCACAACACTAAAGAGTAAATACTTTTAGCATGGCTGTTTTGCTGAGGGATAGTGACTTAGTTCATTTGGGCTACTGTAGCAAATTGCCATAGACGGGTGGCTTATGAACAACAGAAATTTATTTCTCACATTTCTGCAGAATAGGAATCCAAAATCAAGGTGCTGGCAGATTCAGTGTATAGTGAGAACTCTTCCTGGTTTTTAGATGATTCTCATTTTGCTATAACCTCAAATGACAGAAAGGCCAAGGCATATCAGTTGGGTCTCTTTTTATCTTTGTGTTGTTTCTTTTTTCACATTTTATTGAGATATAATTGACATATTGGGGTATCTTTATAAGGGCACTGATCCCATTTATGAGGGCTCATGCCCCAATCACCTCCCAATGGCCTTACCCATTAATACCATCATATTAGCGATTAGGTTTTGACATATATTTTGCCTCCTACTCTAGAAGTGTGGGAAGATAAATTGACAAAAGAATGTAGGATTGTTGAGCAGTTTTGAAGGCCCATTTGAAACTAGTTGAGAAGTTACATCAATCAACATGGTTTTTTGTCTTCTTCAGGTTCATTTACTGTAGTGACTGTGTAGATATAGACAGTTGGTTT